GTACCTAGCATAATGGGGCCCTAGACTCTGATTGTGGCCTATAGGTACTGCCACATTGCAGATAACAAACAACAGCATTGAATGTGTGATGCAGCACACAAAGGCACTTTAAGCCTCCTTTGTGCCTTCCTGATTCTGGGCTGTTCGGGGAGTGCCAGGTCCTAAGGTGCAACTTAGGCAGCCAAAATTACAGCAGCCTATCACCCGCTGCCTATATGTAGCAGTTCCACCCGGAATTTCCACACAACTATGTGCTGCAAATTTACCTCTTCCCATTCCTGACATACCCATCCTTCCCCTGGTCCTGTCCCCCAAGCTGGGTCCTGTCTAAAGCCACTATACACAACACCTGTGCTGGGAGAATTTTCCCTTGACCAGCTAATGGAGTTTTCCAGGCCCTTTACACAATCCCTCCCCACTGCGATTTGGTACCCATGTTGCACTCACTTTGCACAGGTGTAAATGGCTTACACAAGCTGAAAGCCAGTGGGTATACAAGAGAATCCAAGGAGCTCAGATAATCTGCTAGTTTCTGTTGGATTTATCACACACCATCAACTTCTTCTGGTGGTATAGGAATCTCACACACAAGTGGTGACCTGGGTCATTGCTGTCTGCTCTCTTGCTGGTAACTGCAATGTGTGTGCATGGTTTAGATCATGAACAAGTGAATCTGATTCCTGTTAAGCTTACAGCAATTATTTTTCAAATCCACACTGCGTAAAGGGTGTCATTTTCTTTTACCTCACTGCAAAATTCGTCAAATGCAAATTTTGTCAGCTTCACTTTGGGTGTGAAATTTTCCCACACAGCTCCTGCTTATCTATAGAAAGCTGTAACTGGAAAGATATCTTTTTGAAAAAAAAAATGCTGTGCATAGGAGCTTACATGAGAGATGTAGGGCTCTTTAGAATCATGGTTAGATTAACAGGAGTGTTGTAAGCAAGACATGAGGCGTAATGCTTCCATGCTACTTAGCACCAATAAGACCTCAACAGGAGTACTGTGTTCTGTTCTGGGCACCACACTTCAGAGAAAGATGTGGACAATTTGGAGAAAGTCCCGAGGAAAGCAAAAAATATGATTAGAGGTCTAAAAAATATGACCTATGAAGAAAGATTGAAAAAATTGGGTTTGTTTAGTCTGGAGAAGAGAAGACTAAGGGGAGGGCTCATGAATGCAGTCATCAAGTACATAAAAGGTTGTTATAAAGAAGAGGATGATAAAATGCTTTCCTTAACCACTGAGCACAGGCCAAGAAGTAATGGACTTAAATTGCAGCAAGGGAGATTTAGGTTAGACATTAGGAAAAACTTCCTAACTATCAGGGTAGTTAAGCACTAGAACAAATTACTTAGGGAGGTTGTGGAATCTCTGTCATTGGAGGTTTTTAAGAACAGGTTGGACAAATACCTGCCAGAAATGGTCTAGATAATACTTAGTCCTGCTTCAGTGGAGGGGACTGGACTAGATACACTATCAAGGTCCTTCCAGTACCACATTTCTACGATTCCCATCGCTGCTCCTTGGACTAGAAGTACAATTATTATAAGCACTGGTTTACTAATTTACATTATACTGAGGGAAAAAGTAATTCTTTGGAGACCATTTAGGAGAAGAGAAGCTAAATCAAGATCATCCAAGCACCGCAAAAAAATCTCTAGATAAAAGGTCAGTGTTAGCTGTCCTCTGATAATTGTAAGTGTGATGTGGTATTATGGTCATCACTGCCTAAAGGCGTTGCTATAGCTACCACCACCACCAAGTCTAAAGGAGGAGTTCTTAATTAAATAGAAAATATAAGCTAGCTATCACTGTGATTTTAAGGATGGACAAGAAAAAAAATAGGCCATTATTTACAGAAAGTTTATATGATTATAAAAAGGAGGTCTTTATTGTAGCGAAGGATGCATTTCTTCCATATATGTTTTTCTGCTATAACAATACTGGTGTAACTATGCCTGAAAGAGTGCATCCACAGTGCTTTGTTTCTGCTGGCTTAAGCTATTTACCATGTGAATCACCATAAAGCATTCTCAGCAGATATCCCAGGGTGCAATGTTCTGTTGCTGGACTCTCTGCATTCTAGGATTTTTCTGACAGCAGATTGTGGGATATCTACTGGAATCTATTGGAATGCTGGGAAATGAGGTCAAACTAATACACTGCCAAATTCATTTCCTAGTACCCTAGAATTCATGAGGTTTTAGTGATCCAGCACCATTTTCAAATTGCTGTCAGGCAGCCTGGAAGAAACATTGCTGAGTATCAGGATCCCATTGTTAATACGAACAATGGGTAGTTACTAATTCATATGCACCTTTGCAAGCTGTCCTTACATTGGAGGATGCTAACCTGATGCACATACAAAAAGGTTCTGTTCAAAAAGCAATGGGCAACCCAGATGTGCAGGATAGTGCTCACCCCAAAGGAAACACCATTTCTTATGGGTAGCCACAAAATTCTGGTTTTGACACCTGCTAGTCAGTGCAAAGTGCACTGCAAAATAAATAGACTTTTTCAGTAACTGGTCTGAACCCATTTTGCTGTAATGGAGTTAACAATAGCAAGGGTCTGGCTGACAATAGCTAGAGCGTTCTGCAACTGGTGTAGCCACAAAAGCTATATAATCTTTATGCATTATGAAATATTCCTGTAGCCTAATTTGGGTAATTTACCTCATATTCCAGCATGCATTTGGAAATGTAATGGAAGCTAAAAGCTCAGGTCACTGATCAAACTGTGATCCAAAGTACTTTTATTGCTTTTGCTGCTTCTATATCTGCTGCTACAATAAACATGGTTGCCATGCAATATTTGTGTTTTTTTTTTACCCCATGCTGCTGCCATCTTGAGTGTGTGTGTGTGGGGGGGGAATTGAGCACCCCCACAGTCAACCGGGTAGGAGATGGAGCATTAAGCAGCATGGGAGGGGGTAGGGCAGGAACACATTGGCAGGGGCGGGAAGCCGCGGGGGGCGGTGTGCCGGTAGCCGTGAGGGCGGCAGTCAGGCTGCCTTCGGTGGCATGCCTGCAGGAGGTCTGCCGGTCCCGCGGTTTCAGCGGCAATTTGGCGGCGGGTACGCTGACGGCGCGGAACCTGCGGACCTCCTGCAGGCATGCCACCGAATCCGCATAGCCAGCGGACCTCCCACAGGCATGCCGCCGAAGGCCGCCTGACTGCCGTGCTTGGGGCGGCAAAATACATAGAGCCGCCCCTTCACATTGGATCCAGGGTTGTGAGATTTCACATTTCTGGAAATAAACCCTTTTGAGATGACACCATTTTGAACACACTGGAGGGTGGGAGGAGGAGAGGGTGATAAAAGCTGAGCTGGCAGAGAGAGGCATGTCCATCTGCTCACATTCACCTAACATGGCAGCATCCATCTGGTACCCAGGACTAAGTTGTTTAAATCCCCCTATGCACACAGTACCCAGACAGTTTTTGTAACACAGCACAGAATACTTACTGGTTGATGTCCCGTGTCAGGTTAGCTCTCTGCCTCCGTCTCAGGTGTCATCTCTGGGGCTGTTTCTGTCTGGGTCTTCAGCTTGAGTTGGGCATGCCAAAGAGAACTTGGCTATCTGAGTAAATCTCCTCCTTGCTGGACTCCATGGCCAGCTCAGTATCTTTCAAACTATCCACAACATAGCCGGGTTCCACAATGGCCTCCTTAGCAAATATCTGATTCAGCTCCTCAGAGTATGCACATGTCTTGGGAGTATTATCAGAGGTCTTGTTTTTGTTCCTAGTGTTTTTATTATTCTTCCAGAGCTCCTTGACTTTGGTGCATGACTGTGTTATGTCCTGACAGTCTTCCTTTGCATTTGCTCTGATAGCTGCATGTAGATATTTGCATTCTGATGACTTGTGTTAAGATGGGATTGGACCTTTTCCTCTCCCCAGAGGACAAGGAGGTCCAAGACCTCCAGATGAGGTAACACAGAAACATGGGGCATGGTTACTATAATGCACTGTGGCTTTGTGAACTTGCCAAACTGGAATAGCAAAGGAGAACACCTGGCTGTGTGCCAGCATTTAAACAATGAGGTGACATCTGGTCAAGGTGCCTTTGGAGCAGGGCCGGCTCTGGCTTTTTTGCCGCCCCAGGCAAAAAAGCCTCCGGCCGCCCCCCGGCGGCCGGAGCGCCGCGCCGCCCCCCTCCAGGTGCCGCCCCAAGCACCAGCTTGGGTGCCTGGTGCCTGGAGCCGGCCCTGCTTTGGAGCAGTAGAGAGCACACAGGTAAATGGACAGGCTGGTACAGGTGTGAAGCAATGCAATGTGGGATAGCAGTGGTAGGACTGCCTGAAGGGGTATAGTTAATTTGACATAGGGATGCATCCACATGGACCTTATATGGGTGTAACTATTCCAGAACAGAGTTATGTCACTTTCAGAGCAGATTAGTTAAAGCAGGATAAGATACTAAATGAATAAAAATAAAGAACTTTTGTGAGTGGACACAGTTGATGCCAAAATATCTAATGTTATACTTAAAAAGCTTTCCCATGCTGACAAGACCTTAGAGTCCCTGTGACATTTTTAACATGTGGAAAATGGAGGTCTTCTGTTTAAGTGCTTTCAAAACTTGTTTACTTAGTCATTTTTGTCTGGGCACGTTGCTATGAAATAGCCCACCTATCAGTGGGGATTCAGCAGAGGGAATACTTCATCCGACTGAAATTTTATCAGTAGTTATTCTTCTTCTATGAATACAGCCTGATATTTCTAAGATGCTCCACAAGTGGTAACAGCTACAAATACTTTCTATTGTAACCTAACAAATTTCTCTTTCAGAAGTGAATTCACAAGTACATTCCAGCCAATATAATCTTTTACAGCCAATAGAGTCTGATTCGGTACTATTAATCATTCTAGCCTTGTAAATTGTAGACGGCTCTCTTGCAAAGTGGGAAGTAATGCTTCCAGCTGTAACACTATTAACTGAATCCCTGGTAGCTATAACAGAAATTCATGATATACAGCTTACGAGGTACCTGGAGATATAGTTGTTCCTTGATGAAGTCTGAGTTGATCTTTGATTTCAGTATGCTAGAGGTGTTGTTGGAAACATCTGAAATAAAGCTGGAGAAGTTAAAGCTTTTGTAGTTTTGTGCAAAGGTGATGAATGTTAGTCACTGCTGGGTTCAGTTCACTTTTTTTTTGTCAAGAACAGAAACAACTTGTGTGTTTCTACATACAAATTTTGTGTGAACATTAATATTAAAGGATAAAGACAATGCCATTAGGGTACATTACCAGCATTACCAGGATTGCATTTCACAACTCATATTTTGCAGCTAAATCCACACTAAATATGTCTCCTGAGGTAGCTGTTCCCACACACTGCTGAACCAGGATTTATTCTCCAGTCCTACTTCACCACAACAATATAATGGTGAGCAACCCTGCCTTCCAAGTAGTTGACCTGGGTTTGATTCCCAGCCAACGCAATAATGGCTTTGGGGGAGGGATGGATAACTCAGTGCATTGGCCTGCTAAACCCAGGGTTGTGAGTTCAATCCTTAAGGGGGCCACTTAGGGATCTGGGGCAAAATCAGTACTTAGTCCTGTTAGTGAAGGCAGGGGGCTGGACTCAATAACCCTTTGGGGTCCCTTCCAGTTCTAGGAGATAGGATATCTCCATATATTTTTTTCCCCTTCTCTACCTGTATGTTGTGTTGCCATCTTCATCTAAGAAATATGAGGAATATAGAGCAAACCTCCGACCATATTAAATTGGTAGACAGCACATTTTAACTCTGCTTATGATAAATGTATTGGACCAGATTCTCATTTACACTAAAGACCTTTTGGATTGCCCTTGAAGTGTAAAGGAGCCATAACGTGTGTACAAGTGGAAATAAGAATCAGGCCCATCATTTTACCTCTGAACAACTAACAGATCTATGGTATATCTATTTCACCATATTTCCGAAAATGCACTGTGGGATGAGGTACTATTAAGTCCTTGATTTTTTTTCCATCTTACACCTTCAAATTTCTGTGCTCTCTCATGGAGACTTTACTTTTGTCATTTTTCTTAATCTAACCTAAATTATTTTAAACTGAAAACACTGCTTTGCTCTTTGGTTATGGTAACTCAGGAAGACCTAATTTTTGGTGTTCTAACAGCAGAAGTAAATAGGAAAGCATAAGGATGTGACATTCAGAGTTAGAACGTGGTGTAGACTGACAGATGCTGGTCTCTCTATGCCTATAAAACTGGAATTATATTATCTACCTACCTGAAAGGGGAGTTTTGAGGTTCCATTAATTTACTTATATAGTGGCTTGAGATGCTTGGATGGAAGCTCCTTGAGAAGTGCAAAGTACTAGTGCTCAGTGTGTTTACTGTGGGCTAGATTGTGCCCTTGACTTACTCAGTCAAACAGAGAAGTGAGGCCCTACCTCACAACTTGCTCTGCTGAGTAAGACTGACCCAGATCTTGGGTATAGCTCTTGTGACACCCTGGTACCCCCTTGTTCACCACTGTCATATAATTAGGATATGTTTGCACAAAGTAGGCCTTATGAGGTATCATTCTAAAACTCTTGATCTGCTAGACATTAATATCTCATTGGATTGTGTATGCTATCATCGTATGTGGAGTTATGAAGTTTGGCTACGTATGTGTTACTGAACATGTTGTGAAGTTGCAGCCTTTCTGGTACAACAGTAAAAAGCCAAACAATGTTAATGGCTTACTGAGGAAATTAAATGCATACAATGAAACCTCTCAGAGATAGCAGTACACAATGGGAACTGTTTGACCCAGGTCGCAGCAAAAGAGCTTTCCAGCAAGTGGGAAGAAGATATAAAAGGGGGAAATGACATCATGATGGTATCTCACTCTCCCTACAACAACACACCTGGAAACACCTGAGGAACAAAGACTGAACTGGGGGAAGTGATGGTCCCAGGCTGCAAAGCAAAGGAAGCTTGTGCCTTAAGAATCTGTGAGGTTGCTTATCATTCAAGGTGAGAATTTGCTACCTATCTAGTATGTTAAGCTCACTTTGCGTTTTTGTTTATTTACTAGGTAATCTGCTTTCATCTGTTTGCTATCACTCATAATCACTTAAAATCTATCTTTTTCTAGTTAATGAACATATTTTATGTTTTAATCCAAACCAGTGTGCGTTTGACTAAGGTATCTGGGGAAAATCTCAGCTTGGTTACCACATGTGTGCATGATCCTCTTCACATTGAGGGAGAGGCAGACTGGGTATTAAACCCATATACTGGCCAGATTTGACCAGGACAGGACGGTACTGCTCTGGGGTCCTAGGCTAGGAGGCTGGTGGTTAGAGAGCCTGCATGTAACTGCAGCTGGGTGTGTCCTTACCTGTGGGAATGCTGATGAAAGTGCAAACCTGGAGGGCTTTGCAGCTTGTCACAGCAGCACAGTGTGAGAGGGAGCCCCGGCTGGTGGATCAGAGGTTCCGGTGGTATCCCAGTTCCAGGTGGCACCCAGGGAGGAATCCGTCAAAGATCTGGTATAGAGCATAATCCAGGAGGAGGTACCTGGAGAGCAGTATCTGAGCTGCACTGTGCTCTACACCAGACCTATATGCAAGTTCTGGGTCAGTCCTACTCACTGGCATGCACAAATGAGGAAGAAAGCTGCATTCTTTCAAGGGCTGTAGTAAATTTTTCCCCCTCAGATTATGAGGAGAGCAGAGAAGTAAAATATAAGAGAATTGATGCCTGCCAGGGTTACTCATGGTGAGGTGCAATTTAAGCACCACCCCTTCTTTGCTCAGGGCAAACCCATTATTGAGCCCTCTAATATTTGGTTACTGTAGATGTAACATTGCATTCATGTGAAGCAATACGTTCCACATGGTATGAATGAAGTATTAGACTTGATGCAGAACTGTTCAGGCTGTTTAACATGCCCCATTTTCTTCCTGCTTCCCTCCTTCCTGAAAGTCTGAAACACAACAAGCTGTTTTTTAATTTGTGATTCATACTTGTTTCGGAAGCTGATCCATGGAACAGGTTTCCCTCAAGAGAAAGGAAGAATACAAATATTACAATTTGAATTAAAGATAACAATTATCTTTCTTCGTTGTCTCCAGTTAAAGAGATTTGCTACAATGGCATAGGTAGCTGGATATGCTTGGAAAGAAACCAACTGATTCTATCAGAAGGTTACCTCCTGAGAGGTGTGAATTTCACAACAGCAATGCAAGTGTTTGCCACAAAGAGCAAGAACTGTGATTTAAACAGACAAATGCTTACTCCTTTTCTGATATTATTTTCCTTGGTTCTTTTTGACATGTATAAATATCCTGCTTTGGAAAGAGACACAGAATATTATTTTAAGATAAGAATAAACAAATTTATCATAATTGAACTGAAACTGATGTAAATTAACTCTTTCTGTGTGAAGAGAAGGGAGTGAAGTGGTTTCCATGGAAATCCCTGTCTTACCTTTTAGACAAAGGACAGCTTGGAGCTGTAAAATTAAGCCCCCTTTTACTCCTCCTTTCTCATACTTACAGAGAAACTTCTTGTGCTTTAAACCATCACAGGGACTCATCTTTTCTCATAAATCCAACTTCAAAATCAATTTCTAGGGCAAATTTGCTTTAAGTAATTATTTTAACAAGTCAAAGAGTTAGTGACAATAAAAATCCTTATTTTAAACAGAATGGGCCATATTGTTCTCCCAGTTATCAGTGGGGAGTCGCATAAATAGAACGGAGAGAACTTGACCCAATAGATTGAATTCCTCCCTGTTGCAGTACTAGTAACTTTATTGGAGTTGTACCAGGGATAAATTTGGCCCACTGCAAGTTCAGCTCTTTCCCATCATTAGGATTATTCGTGAAGAATGTTATTATAATCTATTTCCGAATCCAACCATTGTGCTTCATTATGATTTTCTTTTGATTCTGTTACCATGTGAACAAAAAAATGCATATAGCTGCAGCACATGATCTCAGAATGTCAACCGTAGGGTATTCTCTGCTCCATAGCTGATTGGTAGGACACACAGTGTCCTCTGGCAGGTATTTGAAAAGTTACATACAAGTTTAGATCTAAAATTAATTGGGGATTAAAGTAACTAAGTAGCAGGTTAAGAAAAAATGTGTTCCATCTGAAAGTCTATTTTCACTGAGAAAACCTTCACTGTAAGACAAAATTTTGTAATTATGGATCAGGTCCTCAGCTGGTATAAATTGGCATAGCTCCAATTACTTTAATGGTCATTGACTTCAGTGTAGTTCTGCTAATTTACATCAGCTGAAGATCTGACCCTATATGTAGAGCTCCATTTTGCAAGCTCTCAATGTGTGGCTTTCTTATTGAAATCAATGGAAATGGCATGAATGGAAGCCTTGTACAATTTCTTCCACATGACTGTGTAACTGTCAATGTTCATACTATATAAATACTGATAATTTAATAATATGAATTATGTTTGTAAGCTTCTTAAAGACACAGGCCCAATCCATGACTGTGGGCTGACGAGCACAAAGCAGAACTCATGATGTGGAGGTGCAAAGGTGGCTTTAAAATGTCTCTGGTTCTTATTTTACTAACAAAACCCAATGTCTACTGTTGATAGCACAATTGTTGGCCACATTCAGATTCTAGAATCTTGATAATTGGTGACCATGTGAGACACAATAGAACCCAGGTTTCAGAGTAGCAGCCATGTTAGTCTGTAACCGCAAAAAGAACAGGAGTACTTGTGGCACCTTAGAGACTAACAACCCAGGTTGAACTTCAGAACCCAGGTTGAAATTGCAGGGATTCACGTTACAAAAATCATCTATTTGACTTCCAAACTGAGCCAATTTGATAGGGAGCTCACCTAAGAGGTAACAATTATGGAGAGCCACAAGGTAACTCTTTTGAGGATATCTAAGAACTAGTAGCTTTGCTGAGTACATTCAGCTTTTCTGGACTGTTGCATGCAGCTTACTAAATAACTCCCAAAGTGTCTTGCTCTGGCACACAATGATGCTTGTTTAAAATCTGGATTGTTTTTACTTCATTTATTCCAAAGTCCTGGGCTAAAGCACACAGGGAAGCATTGTCCAAGACATTACAACAGCCTGGTGCGATT